CCACCACCACCCTGGGCCTTCTCCGTCTCTTTCTATGCCTTCTGCAATGTTCTCTGAGTCTTGGAGGGCATAACACAAACATTCCATTTATGGATGAACATCCAATTGTCATTTATTCTCAGTTATGAGTCCCTGCAATAACTCTGACCGCTGTGGAAAGGCAGATTCTCTGAACAAAGCTGACGGCAGCGAGTTACTTAGAAGGCAGTTTGATGGGCAAATCACATCTATTCAGCAAAGCAACAGCAATAGTTTCCTCTCTAGGGCGATGGGCTCTTGGGGCGTAGAGTACCAGACACGAATTCCCTCCTGTGCTGTAGATGTCAAATCCAATCAGATAGTGGTTGGCTACCCGCAACAAACCTGGTAAGTTGCAGCGCTGGGCTTATCTTGCCTAGCTGACATTGTTGTACACACGGTTCAAGGCTGAGATGGGTGCCGTTGTCACGCTGATTGTTGATGGCAATCTCCCCAGCAGTCTGCAGAGCATCCTCAGGCACTGAGAGCTCACCAGCAGGGAACAAGTACCCAGCCTAGTTCCAGTTTGATTTCTCTGTGTTGTGACCAAGGTGTGCGGTATCCACAGAAATAGGTTCCAGTGAGCAACCAACAGCAAGCAGCAATTGGTTGGCTTCTTCTCACTAAAGCTTTCTTCGCTTCTTTTTTCAGGAACTCCACATTTTAAAAAAGGTTGTTTTAAAGAAAACTGTTGACAGTTACTTATTTTCAAACTTCCTTGTTGCATTATTTTTGAGAATTCCACGTTTATAAAACTGTGTTAAAGGATGTGTTGACAGTTATTTAACGTTTTCAGATCTTAGTTTTGGTTGTTTCTGCCTTTAAATAGTATATATCAATCGTAGAAAACAATGGGTTTCAGTGTGCCATTTTCACACATGTATTGTGGTGGTATGGATAAGAGGACCCCATGCGATAATAAACGTCAGTGTTTAGTCACCAGGGAGTGGGACTCTTTGGTAAGAGCAGAAGGATCAGGAGGTGTGGCCTTGTTGGAGGAGGAGTGTCACTAGGAGTGAGTGGGCTATGAGGTCTCAGAAGCCCATGGCAGGCCCAGGTTCTTGCTCTGCCTGATGATCGGGAGGTAGCGTTCAGCTATATCTCTGGCACCATGACTGCGTGCCTGCTGCCATGCTCCCCACTGTGATAACCATGAACTAAGCCTCTGACACTGTAAGCAAGCCCCTAAAAATGCTCCCTTCTGTAAGAGTTACTTTGGTCAAGGTGTCTCTTCACAGCAGTAGAACAGTGACTAAGACATCTAACTAAGACAGGTATATTTAAAAATAATTGTGGGGATTGGTATAGGCCAAGTCCTTAAATGAAGCAACTATTTAGAATTGTACTTTGGTTGGCACCTTGGGGACATCTACAGCAGTACCTCAAGTGAGCTGTCCCTTTGCCGAGGAGGACAAGGTGGTGGTGAGCTGAGGCGGGAAGTAATAACTAGCAACGGGCTGTGTTCAGAAGCAGGTCAGTTCTGTTAAAGGCATATATGCAGAAATACGTCTGGAAAATGGGTCCTTAAGGATTTTAAGAATGATCTGTACCTACATACCTATTGATGGGATGGTTGTGCCCCCTTTCTACCTCCAAGAAAATGGAAAACATCCAGGAAGTTGGGAGAATGAGAAGCACAGTGTGACAGACCCACCAAGCCACCACTTCAGGATGGCTGTCAAAGCTTAGGGGGCTGCAGGACAGTTGTCACCAAATAAAAGACAGTTCTGAGCAAGTTGTTACATCTTAGTTAGAGGCTGCATTTTCTACCACTGCTTGGTAAAGCGTAGTGCTGAGTTAGCCGAGAAAACGAAACACTGTCAACGGAAGGGGTGTGTTATAACAATCAGCATAGCACAGATTAGAAATAGCTGTACCTGGACTAGAAACAGGCATCTCTAAGAAAACAGCATCCCCCAGAATGACAGCAATACACCAAAGACAACACCTCCTGGTTTACCAGTAGATGGCATGGCTCCGCGAGGGAGTGGACGGGGCTAGATCACTGAGGAGAGATTAAGGTTGAACGCTGGTAACTTTGTTATACTGGTTTTCATAAAGGTCATGGCTTACAATCTATGTGTTCCGTACTTTTTAGTTCACTTGCCTTTCTGAAAAGCTAGAGCTTCACTACCTGCACTGGGGGTCACCTGGTTTGTCTGTTAAATGGAGAGATGCTTAGCAGTTAAGAATATGCCTGTAATGTCAGCTCCAGGGATCCAATGCTGTCTTCTTGGCCTCTGCAGGGACCCCTCACCCCCAACACACACGAGAAAATTAAAAACGTCCAAAAATATAAAATTGCGTTCTTAGTATATAATATAGAATTAAGGGATGTGAAAGAAAGCAGATGAAGCCTTGGACTCTGAATTAGAAGAGATTTTTACACACTTCTGAGTTTGAGAGCAAACAATTGGCGTCCTACTACGGAGGTATGGATTAATTGTAGCTTGACGTTATATGGTCTTTAATCATATGGAACAGCCCTGGCAAACTGGCAAACACCCACTGGGAGAGGTGAGGGCCAGGATCAGACCCCTGACACCCCTCTTTCCCCTGTGCAGTGATTCAGCTGTCTTACAGCTATGAAGAAATGCATTTCTCGACTCTTCTCCTCTTTTCCTTCAGAGTCCTCTGAATTTTAGGGTATTAAATCAATGCAGGAATTCCACCAAAACCATCAGATGTTTAGAACAGGATGCTACCTGTACTTTAGAAAAATTCAACAAAACCACTATCTATTAAGTGTGTATACACAGCTCTACCTGTATCAGGTGTTCTAACGCACACCATTGAGATGGGGATAATGGCAGCAACTAGAACACTTCATTCCAGTCTGACAGCCCAGGACATCAAGTACAAGAAGTTTACTTCAAAATGGACAGAAAGGCAACAGTGACTATATACTGATCGCCCCAGGCCAGGGAAGACATTTTCTTTGTTCATTTATGGTGGCGGCACCAACAACAGGAGAAAAGCACACCGACTGTTTGGGCCTCAAACAAGCATGGCGTGCCTGACAGTAAGGCACACTTACTCAGAGTCTGCTTGGTGTCTTTGTCTTTGAGGATAAAGATGTTCTTTCCTCCCGGGATGAATAGTGAGATCGTAGAATAAAGATTTTTGCGAGCAAGTTCATGGAAAAGGCAGCTACTTTTACAACCCGCTTTGTGAGAGAAGGTATAAGGAGGGGTGTGAGTACCCTTCCATTTTCTTGCCATATTCTAGTGCCTGCACCCCAGTGGCACTGAGTTAGGTTCCAAGTAAGGGTCCTGTCCACCTGAGGGATGGATGGAGGCCACCATGCTTTTACATCTGGTTGCCTCCTACACTGAGTAAGAATATTGGTCAAGAACTCTGAGTTATTCAGGGAGAGAAACAGATGACAGCTATTACTAGCAATTTGTGTAATCAAGAAGGTAAGATAATTAGGATCCAATACATCAAAAGACAATTCTGGCAGTCACAATAATTTATTTTTTGTATTATACTAAATTATTGCTTACAAGTAGTATATATAACTAAGTCTTTAAAAGTCATGCTTCAAGAACATTCTTTTGTTGGGCAAATAACACTCATTTGGTAAACGGCTTTCTTTGCTGCTACATATACTCGTAACAAGTTTACTTCAGATGATTAGATTAAGATGTGTTTTTTCTTTAGAAAACTACAGCTCAAAACTAAGTGCAAAAAACATCTATTTGACAGTAAAGGTGTAAAATTCACTGTGGCACTCCCCAGCTTTACAATGGTGGCTCTAACTATACAGAAGCTCGCTGAGAGATAGAGACTTTGGGTCAGATAAATTTGGGTGTGTGATGTTTATTTTATTTACAACTTTTTATTTTTAAATAAAAAGGTTTATAAAATTATAAGGAAAAAGTATAGGTCAAGGAATCAAGATGGTAGAAATGGAATTGAAGAATATTATTTATCAAGTCAGATCCTGTAGCCATCACTGATGGGTTGCTTCTATCTCCCCATCCTTAAAAATATTTATTTATTTTTATTTTATATGTATGCATAGTGTTTAAAGAGGTCTGAAGACAGAGATGAATCCCCTGGAAGTGAGCTACTGGTGGCTGTAAACTGCCCATGTGGGTGCTGTTAACCAAATGCAGGTTCTCTGTAAGAGCAACATGTATTCACCCCTCTCTAGCTCTTGTCTTTATGTTTTTTTTCAAGACAGGCTTTCTCTGTATAGCCCTGGCTGCCCTGTAACTTGCTCTGTAGATCAGGCTGGCCTAGAATTCAAGATCCACCTGCCTCTGGAGTGCTGGGATTAAAGGTGTGCACCACTGCCCAGATCTTTTATTTCTTAGTAACAAAGAAATGATAGAAATTGGGGTGGGTTTCTTAATTAAGAAGAAAGGAGAGAGAAAGGAATGGGTTTAACTTACTTTTTATTTAAATTTTGATATTGGAAACAAATGTAATGCCTTGCACATGCTAGCTAAATTCTCTACCATTGAGCTGCAGTCCATGCTTCCCGGTCTAATTTTAAAAAGAGAAATACGAAGGGTTTTAGATAGTTAGATAGGAGTTTGTGTAGCATTTGGTTTTTACTTTCCCAGCTTTACAGCCTCTCGTGCCAAATTCCACACCCAGACCATAATCTGCATAACACTAATTATATCAAACCAGCAAAGAAGCTGAAGCCGGCCTTGGTAAAGACAGAGCAGCCCAGCTCAGAAGTGCTCTTCCAACCCCCAAACGCCTCCTGAGCTCCTCACGCTCCTTCCCAGCATACCCTGCCTTCCTGAGTCCTCCTGAAATTTAATTAAAGTGAACAGAAAATGAACCTTGTGGTTCTTACCTGGTTTTAAACGAGCTGCAACTGTGTACTGATATTACTATTTTCTTTAATTTGGTGCAAAACCCAGGAGCTGAGAGCCGCAGCAGAGAAGAATCTGGATAATGAGGTGCTGAGCACAGCAGCCAATTACAGTCTTTTTTTTTTTTTTTTTTTTTTTTGCAACCAATTTTATGAACTAAGGAAGAACTGGGCCAAGAGAATTAAACCGGCAAAAAAGATGGGCTAAAAAATAATGGTGAACACTTATGCGAACACATACACACCACGGCTGAAAAGCTGTGCAGTGTTCTGAAAGCCCAAACACTGCTTCATAATTTATGTGAATGTGCTACTCTGGGACTTGGTTGACTTTCTCATAAACACATTGTTAACTCAAGGATAATATTCTTGGTTTATTGTTCATCATATTAAAGGGTATTTCAGGATCTGAATTTCCTTTAAGAACCAAAACCAAACCCGAAACCATGACAACAACAAACAGAAAGACCAAAGAGGCAGTAAATCTCTCTGCCTGCCCCTGTGCTGCTCTCAGATCTCATCCGATTTCCAAACAGAGAGCAGAAAGGGCCTTCGAAAGCTGCACTCTCAAGTGTGAAGGAGCTGTCGATGCCTCGCAGAGGCCTTCTTTTGGTCTAGTCTCCATGTATTATTAATTTGTATTTCTATTTAACTCCGGCTATTAGTCCGTCTCTGCCAGACACCAAGCCTTTTCCAGGGGAGAGGGGAGGAGACAGGGTTGCTATTCTTAGGCATCCCTGTGTGTAATGAGGCTGGAGAAAAGGAAATAACACCACTTGGCTTCTTTAAAAATGACAGAGATGGTTTGGGGTGGATAACTCAGGGCTGGTTAACATGACCTTTCCCCTCAAGAAGATAGAACAACACAGATAGGTTTCTCTAGAACTTAATTAAGCCTTCAGCAGTGAGCGTGGGAAAACCGCAGCCAAGAGTCAGTTTTCTGTGCCGCCCTTGACACTGCCGCACCGGCTCGACAGTGTCTCACGTCTTCACGAGGCTCTTCCATACGATATCAACAGGGACAGGGAGGTGAGCAACACAGACAACAGGGGCCAAGTAGGGTCCTCACTCGTTGCTTTCTTTCAATTTTCCACGAGAGGGTGAGGTAGCATTTTGAGATGTTTTTATCAGAGCCTGAGAAGTTGATAACCTGACACAGCAGGAGGAAAGCTGTGACAACTGCCACCGCTCGCTCACTCTTCCAAAGGCGAGTGCAGCTCAGTCATAATGAAAGTTCTTTAATGCTCCTGCTCCAAACCTCTTTCGATCAGAAAAGCCGGGAATCTGCAGGCAAGAAAGAAGCCTGTTAGGTTTTAGGCAGAAAGATTCAAATGTTAAAACGAACTGTTTCTTCCTGTTTCCGGTTCCTGTAGGCCAGCCTGTCGCTCACTATAAAACCAGCTCTCTAAGATTTCATTCAGAAAACCATAGAATGATAAATAATAAAAAGAAACTCTACAAATACAGAAAACATCTGTCAGCACATTGCTGTCAGTGTCCTCTGAGTCAGAAGGACAGGCCCCCTACACCGCCCCTGGGCTGCAGCACCAACTGTCTGTTCTGTGGAAGACGACACACGCTGTACAGACGGACGCACACTCTCTTCTTTCCTTACGTTACAGAATCACCTCACCCCTGTTCTTCTGGGATTGCAGATCCTTATTTTGCTTCTGTTTAGGTTTTCTACTTTTGTATTCAAGAGGACAGTGATGGAGGAAGGTCATTGGCTAATAAAGGAACTGCCTTGGCCCATTTTATTGGTTAGAGGATAGGTGGGAGGAGTAAACAGAACAGAACGCTGGGAGGAAGAGGAAGTGAGCTCAGTCTCGACAGCTCTCCTCTCGGGAGCAGACGCCTGAGAGAGACGCCATGCTCCTGGCTCCTGAGCAGACGCACGTTATGAAGCTCCGACCCAGGATGGACATAGGCTAGAATCTTCCTGGTAAGCGCACCTAGGGGCGCAACACAGATGATTAGAAATGGACTAAATTAATATGTGAGAATTAGCCTAGAAGAGGTTAGATAGAAATGGGCCAAGCGGTGTTTAAAAGAATACAGTGTCCGTGTAATTATTTCGGGGCATAAGCTAGCCGAGCAGGCAGCTGGGGTGTTGGGGACGCAGCCCCACCGCCGCCCTTATTACTACAGGACAGAAGAAGTAAGCTGCCCGTGCCTACGAAGAGCTTCTCCTAACTTAAAAAAAAATCCCTCTGGGAAAAAAATTAGAAAGCGTCTCTTTCAAAATTTAAGAAACCATTTTATCAAGAAAGGATAGATACTAACCTGATTGCTTTCTTTAAAAAAGTACCTCTTCTCTATGACCTGTGAGAAAAAAGCAAAGATTTTTTTTGGCTTAGCATATTTACCTGGACAAAGTGACTAATTATAATGTTCATAACTATAGGAAATATTGCCAAATTAAAAACCTTTTCAACAGCTATGGACATTTAATAGAATGAGCTAAAAACCTGGTGCTGGGGCTGGAGGAATGGCTCAGTAGCTGGATACTTGTTGCTTTTTGAGAGGACTGGAATTCGGTTCCCACCACCCACAGTGGGCAGCTCACAACCACCTGCAACCAGATCCAGGGAATCCCACATCGGCTTCTGCAGGCACCTATGCATATGTGGCATTCACTCAAACACACACACACCTTTAAAATCTGATGCTAATGGGACTGGAACTGTGGGATTATTCCCACTAATGCCTACTCATTCCCAAAGGAAGGAATGATACACTAAACAACCAGGAGCAGGATACAGTGGCACATTGTATAACTGTGAGGCTCTGTAATCAATCCCAACACTCAGGTAGCAGAGGCAGGAAGATCAGGAATTCAAGGTAAGCCTGGGCAACCTATTGAGTTTCAGACCAGTCTGTGGTGTGTAGTAAGACCCTGCCTCAAAAGAAAACAAAACTTACAAATAAGTAACACATAAAAATCAAATAAGGACAGAATGACGTCCCACTGGGCTCCTAGAGTACTGCAGCAATTGGGCCAAGTTTCCTAGCAGTCAGTTCCAAAAGCATGCATATGCCAGTGCAAAACACGACACAGTGCAGACATTCTCAAGAGGAGGCTGTGGGAGGCAGTGAGGAACTCTGTGCATCCTGCACGGGGACTGAGGTATGCATCAAGCAGTCAGTGAGCTTCCCTTATATGGGCCTCGCTGGCTTCCTTACTCAGTAGTCGGCAGGAAGAACAGGCTGAAGCAGTGGATATACATTGCAGCTGGCGAAAGCTCATAGATCGTGCCCTAACACAGTGGGTTTGAGAACCACGCTTTCAGGTGATGGGGAGTATTATATAATACACAAAACCCCTCCTGCCCTGGCAGCGCTGCTGTGAGCACAGACTGAGGCATTCACATCTGGAGTGATGACGCTGAGGGCGCTGACCGAGAGCCCGGCGTCCTTTCAGGCCTGGGACAGCCTGCTCACAACAGACTAAAACACACATTATTCAGGTTCATTCTCTCTCGAAGACTATGTCTGGGTTAGTATTTAAGCAACAAGAGACTCGGGGCAATGATGCATTCATCAGCCTTGGAGGCTGAAAAGCTGGTTTCTGGTTAGTATAACTGTGAAACACCAAGCCCCCCGAACCCCCAAGGGACTGAGTCCTTCCCCATTCTCAGCAGGTCAGAAAAACATTATTCTGCCGCAAAGTTACGACCAGCTGAGAGAATCCAGAGGACTTCGACCCCTCTGGCATTCTGGAAGGTTTAATCCACAGACAAAGGGCAAACTGTATTGCCAGGTGTTTCGGTTTCATATCCAGGACATGCTGTACAAACCAGGCTGTCTCCTTTCTGATAGACTCTATGAGATTTAGACAACAAAGGTAGCTTTTTCTTTTGCTGAGAATTCTTTACCCCCAACTTACAAGGTCCTCTCTTATGCATGATGCTCCTTTCTTAGATCCAACCAAAGTACTATTCATTTATTTTAAATAAAGCATTGCTGAGAGCTTATATCATGACAGTCTAAAATCTATTATTTCTCTAGGATGGGACCTACAGATTTTAATTTTAACACTTAAAATAAGCAGGGTGGTGGTGGCGCACATCTTTTATCCCAGCATACGGGAGGCAGAGGCAGGCAGATCTCTTGAGTTTGCGGCCAGCCTGGTCTAGAGAGCGAGTTCCAGGACAGCCAGGCCTACACAGAGATACCCTGTCTTGAAACACCAAATCAAATCAAGTTAAACCAAAACCAAACATCTAAAAGCATATTAAGAGACCTTTCCAGATCAAACACAGATTTACAGAATGTTTTTCTTAGGGACGGGATTTTGTATTAGATGGGAACTTGTATCTAAATCAAGCAAATGCTGCAACATTTTAGGTTTGAAAACAATGTGGAGAGAAAATATAATTCCTTTCATCACTCCCTCCAAAACGCTGTTCTTTGTGCAGCAGGGCAGTGAACGGAAGCTGTCGATCTCCCAGTCCACTGCTTGAAGGGTTGGCTACTCTGAATCAGGGTCTGTGCACACCTGATCCTTTTTGCCACACCCCAGTTAGTAAGCTGTGAGTGAGATAAACTTCCCTGTTGGACGCTTAGGGGACTGGACCTCATGGTAACATACTGAAAAGGGCTCGGAATATTAGAGACTCAAATAGCTAAAGAAAAATGACCTGAATGGAAGATCTGCAAGGAGGCTAGTGTCTTTCTTAAATTTTAAAACTTATTTTTATTTATATGTATATGTGTTGTATGTGTGTGTGCCTTCTTGATTGTGTGTACAACACAGAGGCCAGAAGGTATTGGGTTCACTGGTGCTGGAGTTACAAGAGGTTATGAGCAACTAATGTGGGTTCTGGGACCTGAATCTGGGTCCTCTGCAGGAGTAGCAACTGTTCCTAACCATTGAGCAATTTCTCCAGCACCTAAGTGTTTTTCTTAAGAGACCACATTTAAGATAGATGTAATACAGAAAGTAATCTTTTCCAGTAATGAATGTAGAAAAAGTCCTATATTACGTTGCTATGCAAAATGAGCACTAGGCAAGGCAGCCGCACAGCCCCGAGATGAGGACGACCAGCGCTCTAACCGACCAGTGTGCTGAACCACACTACAGTCTCATTCTAGTTCAGTGCAAGAGGGAGATACAGTAGAAACGTGAGCCTTCTCACAGGGAAACACAGATTCAAGGAGTCATGCTAACTCTACAAACAAGTAGTAACATTTGCATGGAAAACATTAATAGCTGAGAGAATCAAGGGCTTTAATCTCTCTGGTCAGTGCCTTTTGGGACACGGAGTAGGGGGGTAATTACACAAAGAGCATATGGGTAACTATGGATTGTTTTACGGAGGACTCTGATACCTTTTTAAGAGCCCTAATTGAATCCAATAGCCTTTACTCTTTGCTCTAGAGACTGTTAGTGATGGAATAAGTACGTCAGCAGGCCTTGAGCAATTATTCCAACAGATAAGAGAGATCAAAACAGGTATTCAGGCTGTGCAGTTGTGGGCAAAGGAACAAAAGGAACAGCATTCCACAAAGAGTTTAAGCTATCATATGTTAAGTTTAAAAATAACTTAATTGAAGCCATTACCTTATCAAAAAATCTACTGAGCTTGACAGCATTGGAGGAGCCTGCAGCTGAAGACCGTGGGTTTGTGCAATCCTGGAAAACAAAGGGGGTGCACAGAAAAACTGGGAAGTGAAGCTTCAGTGCAACCAATCCCACCGTACCTTTCCAATGCTAAATGGTCAGAACTCTCAGAAAATGCAAGGCGATATTCGGATCGTGATGCACGAACAGGAAAGCCATGTAGTCTTTGCCATTTGAGCAATGCCGAAGGATACTGAGTCAACATACTCACCATCAGTAATTCCTGAAGACAGTGAATTACTAGCACTTTATTAGCCAAACCAAGGGACTGATCAGGTGACCCGCATAGGCTTACTCTGAAAACCAGAACTAGAATCATTACAAACGGACACACTTGTTTAAGGCCAGGAACCACGTGTTCAAGTAATGAAGAACAGTGCAGGCTGCATAATAGTTGGAAACATGAAAAAAAAAGATGTAGCGGGCCAAAGAACAAACACTTGCCAAGGATTTCTCCATACACTGCAGAGACATGCAGGTTTTGGTAATAGTAAGCAAGAGATATATTATTATTATTCAGTGAGATTGTTCAGACAGGAAAACACGGAGCTCAGAGGAGGGAGACAATGAGGGACACTAAAGTCACCATAACTGCTTGCAAACGCTAGCGTTACACCATCTTTGCTTGTCACCAGAGCTGGCCCTCTCAAGAGATGGAGCAGGCTTTCATGTTTGCCTCAAATGCCACCGAGACCAAACTGTGCAGACACCATTCAGGCTCTTTTGTGAAGATAAGTGTCTTGTACACATCTGTGGTCCCCCTGTGCCCCTTGAGAAACTTGAAATTACTCTTGTTATATTTAATAATAATGTTTGGAGCTACCAAGCCCATATGCTTCTTTCTAATACATTTAAAAGCAATTTCTTGTTTTGTTCATACTTAACAAAGCATTTCATAGGTCACACTTAAACAAGGGCTAGAAACTGTATTAGTTCTCTACCCTCCTCATACACAGAAAGAAAGAGAGAGAGGGTAGGAGGGAATTATAATTATAACAGTTTCCAAAGATCATAAAGTACTAGGGATATCAGGATTCTTGGAAGTCAGTAATCTCTGTATTCAAATATATGTGACAACATTTCCAGGTTGTGTAACCTGCTGAAGTCATTACGGCTCTAAAGCTGGGCTCACTCCTCTGTGAAAGGGGACGATTGCAAGTAGATTTGTGAGATCCAGTGAGATCCTGCAAGCCTGTCGTCACACAGTAGACACTGGAAGGTCGCTTCTCGTCTTCATTGTCAGAAAATAAATTTTTAAGTACAAAATCAGTTACTATACTGCAGACAACCCCACATGTGGAGGTATACCTTGGTATACACTGTGCACTCTGCTGTATTTGCAATAATGTTTGAATTTTTGCAACAGTTGGGATGGATAAGAAATCAACTTTAGACCTGCATTAGATGTTTTTGCAAAATGGGTATTGGTTACCTCATCATCAGAATGTTAAATGATGTCTCTAAGTAAGAAAATTACTAAAAAAAAAAAAAAAAAAAAAGCCAAAAACCAAACCAAACCAAACCAAACCAACAACAAAAAACATGCTGGTTGGTGGTGGTACACACCTTTAATTCCAGCAATTGGGTAAAAACTTAGGCAGAGACAGGTACATCTTTGTGAGTTCAAGGCCAGCCTAGTCTACAGGGTGAGTTTCCAGGACAGGCTCCAAAGCTATAGAGAAACTCTGTCTCAAAAAAAAAAAAAAAACAAAACAAAACAAAACCAAAACAACAACAAAAAACCCAAAACAAAACAAAAACCCTCCAAGAAAAAAAAACCCTAAATCCAATAGCAAACAAACAAGTTCCCATCTTCCCCATAAAAATTAACTATTGGGCCCCACAATTCAAGCTGAGCGGGAAATCTAAAATTCCATGCTTTTTTGGAGCTGAAAGAGTCATCTGTCGTTGATCATGGCTAAGGGAAAGTCTGAACAGCTCTATGTAGCTTATTTAATATAACTGAACCATGAATCTGAATGTGGAAATGACTATATGCTACGCAGACACACATGAGAAAAAGTACTATACATAAGAACCCAAGCACTATTTTTATTCAAACAATTTGCATTTGCATCCACAAAAGGAAATTCTGACTTCACTTCTGATATATGCATGTTAGAGTCATACTTCTCCAGAGGTTTAAGCAAATTCAGGCAGGAGACAGTGGCTAGCACTAATGTCACGTGGTCCCAGTTGGAGGTTTTAGAGTTATTTGTTGACTTTCTATTTTTAACTCCCATATTCAGCTGCCCTCTTGATGTGGGAGCTCCCTCTGTGTGCCATGAATACCATTGGTGAATAAAGAAACTGCTTTGGCCTGTTGATAGGGCAGAATTTAGGTAGGTGGAGAAAACTAAACTGAATGCTGGGAAAAAAGAGGCAGAGAGTCAGAGAGAAGTCATGTAGCGGGAACTTTACCTGGTAAGCCATTACCATGTGGCGATACACAGATTAATGGAGATGGGTTAAATTAAGATGTAAGAATTAGCCAATAAGAAGCTAGAGGTAGTGGGCCAAGCAATGATTTAATTAATACAGTTTCTGTGTGATTATTTCTTTTTTCTTTTCTTTTTCTTTCTTTATTTTTTTGAGACAGGGTTTCTCTGTGTAGCCCTGGCTGCCTTGGAACTCGCTCTGTAGACTATCCTGGCCTCAAACTCACACCCATCCACCTGCCTCTGCCTCCTGAGTGCTGGGATTAAGAGGTTTTTTCAAAAACAATAACTAACATATAGTGTTATCTTAATCAATATGACTCTTGAATTTGGTATGCTTTTTAAGTTTTCTCAAGAAAGATTCTATTTGCAGCACATAGCTTGAGGGTTCCAACAGATCAGTGTGTAAGTTCGAAGTGAGAGAGACCCTCGCGTGACATCCTGATGCAGATCCTGATCTGCTCTGTGTTTGGGGACTCTGCTTTGAGTATGATGCTTCTTTGACTAGAATATCACCCAGACACACATTAGTGAAAACACATACCAAATTAATCTCTTCAGCATTGAAGTCCTCAGCCAAGAAAGCAGTCCTAGTCAAAACTTCATGGCGCTTGGTTTCATGAATCTGGTCCAGTTTGGTCCCTATTACCAACAGTGGGATTTGGTTATCAGCAAATTGTTCTCGGTCATAATCCCTGTGACAAATAACCAGGAAGAGGTGAATGGAATTTACCTTTCCAATGTAGACGTGGACTAGTCAAATGCAAAAACACTTACATAATTTCAGTGATAATTAACTAATTCCTGCTCATCACCACCTAGAAATAGTTTTTTTCCTAATTCCTTCCATGTACTTATTTATCATCAATTCATCATCTATTAAATTCCAGTTACTCATCTTACTACTCAACATCTGTTCCTGTATGTCTTTCTAGCAAATAACTTGGACCACTGAGGGCCTAATGTGACTTAACTGTCCAACAACGCTCTGTCTTCAACAGGTATCAGCTTCAAAATTTTTCAATGTAGAGGCAGAAAGTGGATTTGAAGCTCAGTGTATGGAAAACCCAGGGGCCTAGCGTGCAATGCAGGTACTTCAAGCACAAATTCTCTACCTTTCCTATGCATTCCTGCCTATGAGTGGTTTTCATAGTACAAAGAAGTAGGGTAGCTGCAGGCTAGAGGACAGAGAGCCTAAGAGACTGCAGCTTAGAATGGGAGTGGCGGGAAAACAGCTGAAATGCTAAACATAATAGTAAAAGGCAAAAAAAGAAGCAAATAATTATCCTAACATGACAGCCATGAGGGACAAAGGATCGACTATCAGAATCCCTCAGAGATAGAAGGGCGGGGGTCTATTATAATTCATTTTATTTCCACTTTTTCCCAAAGGATTGGGTAGCAATACGAATGATATTTCTCATTATTGAAAGGAACATAAAGTCTATTGTTGTTAATTAATTGAAATTCTATTCACCTATTAGAAGGAAAATAGATCTAACTTTCTGACATGTTATAAGCTCTATTTACAACAGTCAGCAAAATCTGCTTTTGAACAATCAATATTGCATAATTCAATCAATAAAACCCACTGGAGCACAGCTTCTCTTCTATCCTAGCCTTTTTCTTTCTTTTTGAGCAATCTAAAGTGGGCTGGGAGCAGAGGTTGCTACATCTCTCCATCCTACAATGGCATTAGAGCCTCAGCTATGGTTCCACTGCAGAACACAGTCGGTTTGAACTATGTAGCCCATCTCATATAAATATCATCTGTTTTATATGCATCGAAGCCAATAATAGCTCAAGTTCAAGGCCCATGAGCCAGCACCTTCTTCCCTACACACGCCTGACTTAGGAGACATGGTTTGAAATGAAATTTGAACGACTAGAGAATGAGGTTTTCGGGGTACTTTCCTTCAGGATTATTTCTTTCTCTTCTATTCACAGATTCTCTTATGGAAGATTTGTGTTTTTTATCAAATACCATCTCTGACACACTCTCTCCACTATCTGGACCTTATATAAGCTCCTATAGATTACCCTGGAAGTATGTGTGCCGTGCTTGCTCATCTTCCATTTTAGTTCTTCGTTTCATCAAGAGCTATATTCACTGAATGACAAATGTATACAATGACTCATCTCCTAAATATTAATTTTAAAAGAAAATTGTACCTGATTGATTTTGGTTTTCCTTATTGCTTCTTTCATAAAAAAACATCATCCAAATTGAAATTAGATCTCGAAATCATGTTAAAATCATTACGTAAAAAACTGGTGGAGATTTTTATTATGGACAGATATGACTAGCACTTTCCCCTCAAACCTATCATTTTATATGTACAATAACCCTCCGAGAAACAAAAACAACAGTTTTACATCTCTTCAACACTATAACTATCATTGAGAGAAGACTCAAGATCCAAGAGATACACTTTAAAGACACACTAGGACTTTCGATCTTGCTGTTGTATTTTTTAAACTGGTGGTAAGGATTGAACCTGGGGCCTCACACGCGCTAGGGAATGGCTCTACTGAGCTACAGTGTCAGAACTCTCAGGAGGAAATATTTACGTAGGCTCAAGGTTTCAAAGGGAGTAGACACATAGATCAATAGAACAAAGTACAGAAGCCGACCTGTACAAATATGGTCAGCTGATTTTGTCAAAGGATGAAAGCGACTCAGTGGAGACAGGATACTCTTGTTAACAAACGATGCTGGAACAAGCAACATTCAAATTTAAATTGGTAAGCCCAAATCACACATATTATATAAAAATTAAAGCAGGCCAGAAATCTAGTATAAACCCCAATTTATAAGACCTATAGAAAAAAAAACACAGAAGAAAATCTGTATGATCTGAAATTAAGCAAACAGTTCTTAGATATAATACCAAGAGCAAAATCCAGAGTAGGAAAACTAAGTAATTAGATTTCATCAAAATAAAACCCACTGCCATGAAAGATGTCATTCAGATAATGGAAAGACTGTGTATAGACTAAAATATACAGCCAATCACACATCTTACAAAGTTTTATTTTTTAAAGTGAATTTTCAGGGTTGCAAACACATTTAAAACCAATTGTAAAGTAATTCCTAGCTTACCCATTTGTCACCAGGACTCCAGTTGGAACCAAATCTCTATTGAGAACTTCCAATGACCAGCGATATAAATTCTGAGATGACTTCTTATTTGTTAAGTCGTGCACTAAAATAATACCTAAAATGAATATGTAAAATGACGTCAGCATTCATCAGCATCTCTTCCTTTACAATCAACAAGGGCAAACACAGTAAGTACAAATCTTAGGGGCTTAGTGATCTAGTATTCAAGTATGACTAACAAAATCAGACAAGCATTTCAAGATGGTCTTTACAAAAATTTCCAAATAACTAACTATAAAGCTTTGCTACTAATATACTTTTAAAAGTGTTTTCTTTTTTATTTCCCAAAGGCTAACAGAACGTCATAAAATATTCAGAATGCCTTTTGATATTCTCATCCAGCAGGCCCTGAGTGCCAACTACATGCTAGAACTGCTTGTAGAAGCACTTCACCAATGAGGAGCATTGCCTATTAACAGATTATATTCATTCAAAAACTATACTCTTTCTGCACTGGTAAAATGTATTAAAATAGCACCGCTTTAATTTTTATAACTTCGGTTTTTTCTTTTAAAAAACAAATCCAGGCTTTTACTCCACCGAGGATACTGGTTTGGCTCACTGTGTGGCCCAGTCTGGTCTGGAATTCTTCATACTCCTGCCTTTTCCTCTCAGACCTGAGATACGTGTGCCACACTTTCAGCTCACTCACTAGCCTACTGTTCTTAATGTCCAGTTCTATTTATGTGTATGTGTGTCTGTCTGTGCATACACACATGTGCGGGTGCCTGTGGAGGTAGAAGAGGGCAGTGGATCTCCTGGAGCTGAGATTACAGACAGCTGTGAGCTGCCCTGTGGCTGCTGGGAATCAGCTGGGGCTTCTCCAAGGGCAGCCGGTGTTCTTAACTGCTGAACCATTCCTCCAGCCCCTCAGTTGTGATTCTTTAATAAACAAAATATTGAGCTGTAGATCTTTTGAATTTCAACCGCTCAAGAATTTAATTTTGTTGTTCTTTGAATTCATTGCTAGCTATGTAAGCTTGTTATTTTAAGAGATTTGGTTAGCCCATTGTAGTGACACATGCTTAGACTCCTGCATTTGGTAAACTGAGGCAGGAGAATTTAAGTTTGGGGCCAGCCAAGGCAACATAGTGAGACCCTGACTTAAAAGGCAAATGAGGGGAGGAGAAAATGAAAACAGGGGACAGGGAGGGAGAATGAACTGATTTATGTAAAAAAGCAAGAGTCTACAGTCAAACTACTGTGAATATGTTCAATCTCGTCTCAATTAGCAAAGAAACACGCCGCTAGGAGATAGTAAGGGGACGCAGTCAAGTATGCATGCAGGCTGGAGAGATGGCTCAGTGGTTGAAGCACTGACTGTTCTCCAGAGGACCCAGGTTCAATTCCCAGCACTCACATGACAGCTCACAAGAGTCCGTAACTCCAGTTCCAGGGGAGCTACCTGGCCACTGCAAGCACCAAGCATGAATATGATACACAGATATCAAACAAAACATCAATAAACATAAAATATTTAAAAACTATATAAAATTTTAAATATTAGAAATAAATATTTAAAAAGTATGGATAGTAGAAAAGATATGGATTTTTTGAGATTGAAGAAAATAACAAAATGTCACATGGCTCAGAAATACAAGTAAATAGATCAACTAAAGTCCTGGACAGAAAAGCAAGGGTAAAAGAAGAAACTTCAACGCCTGTTGGAATTTAGAACATCATCTTGTGATACAAGAACCATAGATTTTCACACTCTACTTATTTATTTATTCATTTATTTATCAAGACAGGTTTCCTCTGTGTAGCTTTGGAGCCTGTCCTGGAACTCGCTCTGTAGACCAGGCTGGCCTTGAACTAACAGATGACCACCTGTCTCTGCCTCCTGAGTGCTGGATTAAAGCCATGTGCCACCATTGCCTAGCCATACTCTTTCTTTTTTAATTAAATTTATTTTTTAAAATTTCATATGAGTACAATATTTACATAAGTTTTACCCTTTCTGATATCCCCTCCGATTTCTCCTGTGTCCCCCCATTCCCTCACAAATTCATATCCCTCTTTAATTATTGTCACACATGTATGTATTTATAAATGCAGCCTGCTGGGTATATTTGTACTGCTGCTTGTTTATGTGTTCGTGGCTGACCACCTGAGCTTGAACAAGCTCTCAGGGGATCATCCCTAGAGAAGGCGGATTCTCTCCTAGAGAGGACAGATTCTCTTTCAGTGGTCATTAATTGTCCTGTAGCTCTTTGCCTGGAGGCAGGGCCTTGGGAAACTTATTCCATCCACACTGGTTCACCAACTGGTGTCGTGTAGGTCATGTTTAGATGAGCATACTTTTTTAGGTAACATGAATTTGTAGTCAATCTGATAGCAAAAGATTATAGAAAAGTGTAATAAAATCTCACAGGAGCATAAAAAAATTAGATATTTTCACCTAGGCTGCCTATTAGATGTATAAAAAACAAAACCAAAAAAAACAGAAACAAAAACTTTTTTTTTGTTACAAACAAAAACTTCAGAATTTTATCTCTTGATAATCTTTAGGGAATGCTTTTGAGCTCTTAAGAGTGTCTGAGCATTCTTTTTCTACTCTTCTTTTCTCATTTAGCTGAAGTGCTAGGGCCAAGTGATGGAGTCAGACTGACATCTGATGAGAATATATTCTAATTAAGGAGGCTGGAGAAACACTCCATAGGCTTTCTACCGAGATGGGTAGCCTGGGTCATCAGAGTGGGAGGAAAGAAAGGGTACTTATTCTCAGATACAGTTCATCTGGAATATCTACAGAGGCTGGGGGATTACTAAAGGGTCATGGGGAGGGGTTTAAAGGTGAGATAGAATGAACTGGTATCAAGGGTTAAAAGGGAAGGATGGAACAGGAAGGGTTAAACTTGGTTTGGGGTGAAAGAGCAGGGTTGAGGAAAGAGTATGCAGAGGGATAAATAGCATTAAAGGCCTTTGGAAAAAGACATATGGAAAACAACTACTTCTGAGCTTAATATTTTTTATTTACATGCAATATATATCATATACATAAAAAGGTAAAAATGGAGTGCCCCTATAGTAAGGCAACAATGCCTCCAGCAGACACCAGAGGCTAATAAGTTAGACTGCGACATGCAGATTTAAATCAAGACTCAAGCACATCAGCTTTCTCACGGAAGACAAGCCCAGCATGTCATGGCACTTCATATCAACGATCAGCACTTGTAGACCACTAACAGATGGCAGAAATGAAAACACTTACCATTTACAGAGTTGTAGAACACTGCTCTCGTGCTTTTCACGCTGCTGGCACTGCCCACGGAGCCTCCAATATCCCACAATTCTATGTAGTATGTCTTCTCTTCTGGGGTTCCTTCTTTGTAGTCATGCACCTAATGGATTAATCAAAATCATTAGAGCCACCACACAATCTGGTGAGCGCCCTCATTCAGCCTAAAGCAACGGCCATCCCTACAGCACCCCGCCCTCTGGCTCTGCCCGTCACCTCCTATCTTCCATGCTTGCCCCTTACTAGACAACTCTAATCTTCCACCCTATTTGACCCTACATTTGAGATGAACATCTGGTAATTCCCTTCCTGCTTTCAAAGCTTTAGTGCCTTCCCACGAAGCACAAGCTGTGACCCATTCTTCCACCTCTGTCACTATCTTTCTTAGCCGCATTCATCTACAAAACTCCAATCCTGACCAGAGCCTCTTCCTCCTTTATTGTGCCCCCAGAATTCCATTTCCTGAATGTGTAGCTCAGAAAACTACATCCTAGTAGTGGGAGTCCTTTTCAAATTCAAGTGTGCCCTTGGAGTCAGCCACCAATTCTGCTGTCCACTTTCCTTGTCCTGAGAATAATTTCATACTTTGGCTGCTTTTGGAAATTTCCAGTATCTCTTCTCTAGACTCAATAGAGCTAGCCTGGTCTCCTAGGCTAGAATAATAACAATAAGAACTTCCTCCACCGCTTTTTCTACCTCCTTGAATGTATGTCTATAGGATCACTTTCGTCCTGCTATCACCTCAGGCTGTCTGTGCCCCTCAGGCTAAATCTGAATCTCCTGTGCAGGAAAAACTTCACCCTGACAGACGCAGTCACACATCCTTCTCGTTCTCGAGCATGGCATTTCCTCCTCGGCTGGATAATTCTCCACAACATACAGAGGTGCCTTGCCTTCTGCCAGGTACCATGCTGTTCCTCTGCTCCTCCCCACAGGAAGGCCTCCAAACCGTTACCTATTTCCAGCTCTGTTTTCCCTCATTTTTTAAATGTAAAAGTTTTATTTTTTGAGAATTCAATATATGAGTACTGTGTTTACATTTCCATCCTTCCCTACTGCTACTGTGTTTGCCCTCTGACCTCGCAACTTCTCAAATTCAAGTCTTCGGTTATTGTGTGTGTATTGTGTGTGTATGTGCGTGTATACATACAATCTACTTAGTCTATTTAGTGTTCCTGTATGGTGCACACGTGGCAGCAGAGAACAGCTGTGCAAGTCACTTTTCTCCTTCCACGGAGTGGACCAGAGATCCAGCTCAGGCCATCAGCTTGGCAGCAAGCACAGTTACACACTGTGCAACCTTACTGGCCCTCACACTCCTTTTCTCAAATGCTTCTTTATTTTTATTTTATGTGCCCAAGTGTTTTGCCTCCATGTATGAATGTACATGCCTGGTACCCACAGAGGCCAGAAAAGGGCATTAGATACCCTAGAATCACATCTCTTTAGAGCTCCTTCCTATATGATCTTCACAACATCTTCCTACTGAACCATTTCTGGTCAAGGTTGCCAGTTATCTCCACACTGACTTCCCCGGGGCTCTGCAGCCTTTCTTCACGCAGTCTCCATGACAACACCACTCTGGGCTTCCTCCCATCTCACCGGCTGGTCACTTAGGTGGTCCTTACTTCTCTCCTGCTCTTGCTGCTCTGCAGAGTCCTATCCTATTTCTTCTCTGTCCATTCCTGCTCTTCGGCAATTTCATCTACTCTTATGATTTTATGTATGTTGACGAATCACAAGTTTACATAAATCCTGGGGATTTTAGACTACCACATTAACCAGGCTACCTCTAGGAATGTCTAATAGGTACTGCAGAGTTTATTTACCAAAAAAAAAAAAAAAAAAAAACCCAAAAAAACCTTGTTTTCTTCCCAAACCTATTCCTCTTCCGGTTTTCACAGCCTTGACAAAAGGCAATCCCTTTGTTGAGATATCTTTGATATCGGAGTCAAAACCTTAAAGTGAACTTTGATTCCTTCCCCACCACAATTGCTCTGTCAGCAAATCCTGTCCCTTTGGTCACCCCTCAACTATTATCCTTTAGGGAGATGCCCCTGTTTACTGCTTTGCCTGAATTATCTAACATGATCTCTTAGTTTCCCTACAGGAAGCATTCCCTTACCTATTCATTTTCCACAACGTAGTTAGAGGGATTACGTTAAATCCAAGTGAGTCCAACGGCTTTCTCAGTCACAATACATTTCAAGATCTCTTTTTATTCCTCATGATCTAGGCTTTTGTTCCCTATTTAACTATTCAAGTATTTAATTATTTTGGAGCAAATTCTGATATACAATAATCCGATGTATGACGATTCAAGGGTAGACATCAGGCTTTTCAAAGGAACTTAGAAATAAATATATAGAGCCAGGCGGGTTGTACCCCTGTAATCTCCGTGTTGGAGAGGTTGAGGCAGGATTACGCATTTGAAATTGGCCTTGGCTGTGCTGTGGGACTTTGACTTCCCACACTGCAGTACTCCTTCACTCCCCTCCAAAACAGAAAACTATCCATCAAGCTACAGAATCAGGGTCTCTGGGGGTGAGGCCTAGCATATAAATCTCCAAACGATTCTGCTGTAATGCTCAGCCTGAGAACTGCTGATTCTATAGAATGGAGCTATTCTTGTACTGGGCTTATACCTCTGGACTGCCATGAACCAGCCTTGGTGTTGCTGAGCTCCTGATGAAAGAGATGCTTTGTGAAACTATAAAGCATCCATTGGCTTTACAATAATAATGAAAAATAGACAACTTAATTATTTAAAAGATTTCATAAAATTTACTAAACTTCACAATTCAACAGAATGCTTTGTATTTTGCTGTATCTGCTTAGTTCTAAATCCTTTGGCCAGGAAAGCGTTTGAGTACATGTGGTACTCTATACATAGTCACTGACATTAAGAAGATAAGGAACAGACGAAAACAGCAAGATAACATGATGACAGCAAAGTCACAAACATTGGACACTGTTTTAGAGAATGGAAATTAATGTTATATATTGCAATAAAAAGTACTGCTGCTTTGGTATATGACTATGCCAAATCATCAAAACAAAGAAGGTTAAGGCAGTGGTGGCGGTGGCACACGCCTTTAATCCCTGCACTCCGGAGGCAGAGGCAGGCGGATCTCTGTGAGTCTGAAGTCAACCTGGTCTACAAGAGCTAGTTCCAGGACAGGCTTCAAAGCTACAGAGAAACCTTGTCTCAAAAAAACCAAAGAAGAAGAAGAAGAAAAAAAAACATTGAAATATATGAAATATTTTAGAAAGATTCTAAGAAAAACTATTTAAATAGGGAGCAAGTGATCTGTTATGAAAAAGATTAGCTACTTCCATAAACCCCTCCTGACCTTGCTTTCCCTCACACCCCAAGCCCAGCCATGTTAGGTTTTCCTCTATGTTTCTGTAACGCTCTCTGTCTACATTGCTGTCACCTCACTGTCTGCACTGTCTTAATGAACACTCACTACCTCTTCTCTCACACCGGGAGCTTGAGAGAGCAGGGGCCATGTGCCTTTCATCTCTGAATCCCTAGAAAACAGTGCAATATCTAGAATCTGTTTGCTAAATTAATATATTTATTATGTCATGTCATCCTTCAAGGTTTTAGTATATTTAGTTTGCTTATTAAATTTCTGTTTTGCTTAGTATAGCTATGAGAGGATGTAAATTGGAGTAAGAACTTGGTCAAAAAACAAAGATTCCTGAACCATCCCTGAATCCCTGAATTTTTTGAGACAGGATCAAAACTTGTATTTTGTTTGTTTGTTTGTTTGTTTTTTGAGAGAGGGTTTCTCTGTAGCTTTGGAGCCTGTCCTGGAACTAGCTCTTGTAGACCAGGCTGGCTCTGAACTCACAAAAATCCACCTGCCTCTGCCTCCCAAGTGCTGGGATTAAAAGTGTGCGCCACCACCGCCCGGCCAAAACTTGTATTTTTATAACACAACTCAGCCTGGTAATATACTAGCCTGTTAGCCAGAACGCTAACACTCATAAACCACTCTGACGACTTATTGATACTCTCCTCTAATACAAAATACCTTCCAAACCAAAGTTTTTCAAAGTCCCTTCTAGAATTAGGAGAGGTGTCTCTCTTTCGTCCCCATTTGCTTAATTAATACTCAACTAAGTGAATGCAAGTGCAGTGAGTGCTAAGAATTTAAACTGTAGGATACAAGAAAGTTAACGCTATGCTAAGCATGGCTCTTGACACAGGAAGCGGCATCTGCTGTTATATTAAGAGTCTAACACGACAGGCAGAGCAACACCTAGCTGTAAGAAGCTTTTTAAAAATATATGTAAACCAAGTCATCAAGGATCTGATATTTAAAGCCATTCAGAGCTTTTATGGCAATGCAGGTGCGCTTTCTCCACAGGAAGCAGGACCATACAGGAATCAACAGGAGCACTGCTCCTCAGCGCCACTCCCCCTCACGTGTCTCTTGAGCAACACATCACGATTACACGTGGGTACAGTTCACCGGAGTGCTTCAGTGTAACTTTTAAAAGAGAAATAAATTCAGTAAAGGAAATGATACATATCAAGAGAGATAAGATGCCTATAGAATTACTTCTAGAAAGAAAGGAAGAGTAGGAATTCTTAGGAGAGTGTTGAGAGAAAAAGAGAAGAGAGACGGACAGAGCAACCAAGAGATGCCACTGGCATCCTGGACGTTTGAATTCATGGGATAGAGGCTACTGCCAATTGCTTTTCTTTCTAGTGACTTCTCAACTGCCTTCAGTCAAGTTCATTTCCTCTATGTAAAAAAGGTCTTCCCCTCTGTGCTATAGCCATTCTTCCCTTCTAGCTCCAACCTTCACGAAAGACTGATTTCAGCCTGTGTCTGTTTCCTGGCTGCTCGGACACTCCATTTGATTTGCGCCAGTTAAACGTAATCACATGTCCAAAGGTTAGTGCTAACCTCCCAATGTTTGTTTCTTCTTTCCACCTTGTATCTCGGGCATTTTGTAGTAAGGTCCAACGCCGCTCCGTTCAGGACTTCCAGTGTTTGCTCATGTAGTCGGCCATCCTTTTAGCTATATTCTATGTTGATCAACTTTTCTATGATGCCTCTTTTAGGAACTTCAACTCTTTAAACG